GGGGGGGGGGGGCAAGGGAAGAGGTTGGGATTATTAAAAATCGAAGCTTGGAGGGGGCCTTAAGGAGCTGAAAAGCAGATGTTGGAGAGAATGCCTCTCAGCTGGGATGGGTGTCTCTGAGTTCAGAGGAGGGTCCCGTGGACCTCACGCAGCTTGTGCCGGAGTCTCTAATCAGCCGTGAGGAGGCTGATTTTGTGAGTGTGGGGAAATGTCAAACTGGATTCAGTTGTTATTCCTGGGATGAACCGTTGCTGCCTGGATAGAACGGGTGGTGGTGGCGGGAACAGAAAACAGGAAGTAGGGACTCCTTCCTCCTCCTCCAGCCTTTCAGTCTATGCCTCCTGTGGGCCAAAGCTAACAGGGATCGGCTGTTAAAGCAATCACCAAGTAGGGTCTGGAAGGGTGAGTTGGAAGCCGGCGATAGCAGCGTTCTAATCGGCACACCTGCTCTGTCCTGCTTCCTGAACGTGTTCAGGAATGAACCCATTACTCAGAAATCCCTGCCTCGGACTTGCTTCTGGGAAACTTGTCCTTCAACGGTTGGAGCCGGACTCTAAGAATGAGATTCTAAAGTTGAACCACCCGCTGGCCGCCTGGCCCGGAGGACACAGCACCCGTGGTGGGAGGGTTTTGAGAAATGCAGAGCAGGTGTCGAGACTTCCGGCCTGTGCTGACCGGGGATAGACCAGAGGAGCTGGGAAGTGAACTGCCCTTGTCCCATGTCTCTGGCTGCCTCACAGACACAGCGGGAAAGATCTGGTGGAGACCGTGGGATTATGCGGCTGTTGTTGTCTTTTTTGGTAAGTTTCAATTTTAATTCCACTTACTTAATGTTATGCCCAGAATTCGTGATCCCCAAAGACCACTAGGGAGCCGAGTCCGATGCAAAAGCAAAGAGCCTTTATTCGAGCTAGCTCGAGCTCAATCCCCTACCTGCACCGACGCAGCGGTGAGATACCAGGGAAAGAGAGCGAGTTTCAAAAGGACAAAGGTTTTATTGGGGCCTGGGGACAGTTGGTGAGGTA